CTACGTCTTGCTGTGATTTGTAATATAGCCTCATCAGTGTAGCTTTTCCTTGTTCTAACCATAAAAAATTCTCTAAATCATACCTGATCATATGATTCTGTTTTTATTCTTGAGTAGTTGGTATTTTTCTTCCATGTTTTAGGAATTATAATTTTTACAGACTTGAAGAAAAATCGATGTTTTGTCATTTCAAACAAGTAATTAGAAGCATTTTTAATCATGCTCTGGGGGATGAAAGAAAACAAAATATCAATATCAACATTAGTATTAAACATTTGACTGCACATGCAATGAGCCTTATCGAGAAACAGCAGTGCAGAAAAGTAGAAGCACACAGCACAAAACTAAGAAAGCATTACAATCTTCGCTAAGAAAAGAATAAACAAAAAAGCCGAGGACTAAGCTGTCATTCTTGGAATTTCTCAGTGGTTCTATAATCCTGTTCTTAATCACAGACTGTGATAAAACTCCCACTTTAGCCTTCATGCGAGGTAAAAACTACTGAATACAGGGATTTTAGCCTTAGATTCATACTGGCCCGACAGCACATGTGGGCAAGATTCAGCACTGCACCTGCTTTTCATTTATCTGACCAATCTCATATTTTTCCCCTCAAATTCACCATTTCTCATTTCTTCTTATTTGTATGATGGTTACTATATGTCGCCATGACTTTCCTTTCCTCTTGATCTTTCACCACTTCGCTTGGAGTAGAGGCATCAGAAAAAACTTTCTCTTTCTTTGTTTTTCTCTCCACTAACAACCAAGCGTTCAGTGGAAAAAAAACAATCAGGAAGGAGAGACCTGAAACCTGTCCCATAGGCTTTTCATCATCTAAGAAACAAGCTCAGACAGGAGGCTCTGGAATCAAATATCCATGTTACATGTATATAAAATTCATCTAAAGGAGATTTCTTGAAGAGATTCAGTTTGCTAGGACTGAGAGTGACAGTGAGTGTTAACCCATGAGAAGTTAAGCAGTAATGGGACGTGCCACATCAGCTGTCCCTGTGTGACCCCTTGCCTGCTCTTCAGATAGAACAGAGCAATTTGACTAGCTCAAGGGAACTGGAAGAATGGTGACAGAGCAAGTCTCATAAGGCCAGCTCTAATGTGAATTTGGTATGTGCTATATCTCACACTAACAGTAACCATCACTCATACACTTCTATATTAAAACACACTCTCAGTGGTTTGCTCCTTAATGAAAGTTGAGTGATCTAAACTCTACTTACTCTTAAAAACAGGGATAGCCAGTAACTGAAATCACGTCCACTTTTACTCCATGTAAACCTCCTCTTACAAGATAAAAGGAATCTGGAAATGTTAAAAATTTGATGGTATCCGTTGTACTTGATCTTACGGATGACATGGGACTGATACAGTCCAGCATTAGGACTAGTAGGCGTTAGAAATACTGCAGAACTTGGGCATTCATCAGAAGTGTCCTGTTGAGCAGGTTTGCTCTAAAATGGTTTCACTTAGTGGAAAACAGTGTCTTTGCCTTGAGAGCTGGCTAGCATTCCAGTGGAATTTATACATTGAGGCAGCTATGTGAACTGGAATAAAATTTAAGCCCAGAAATGCCACTAAAACTGAACCTTTTTTTTCTCTGTGTGTTTGCTTTTTCTCTCAGTTACAATTTTTAAAGGATCATAATAAGACGTATTATCTAATGAAAGAACACTAGTATAATCAATGGCTATTAAACAAGCATTAGTAAGACATTCTTTCAGGTAAACATAATTTGGAAAGCTACTTAATCTCACTCTGCCTCCCAAAAGAGATATTACAGCATTGTCTGAGAGAATTAGTGCTCTTAGCAGCAACAATGTATGGCAAGACAAATTGCAAATTACTATTTTTGTAACTATGCGATTGATCCATGATTAAGTCAAAGCAACATGAAAAACCTATAGACAAGAGTGAGAGCTGGACCTGATTCATGCTACTTTCCAAGGAGAAAAGTCAAGTCACAAATGCCAAGGAACAAAGCATATAAATGCAGACTTTCTTACCATTGTGTTCAGGATTATGTTGGCATCTTCTGGTACCTGGGGATTAATTGCAACAACCAGATCCTCATAGCCATTCTCATTTAGCCATACCGTAGAACCTTTTATCAGCTGCAAGAGCTGAAAAGATAGCAAAAATATCAGACTCTGAGTCACCCCCATTACTTGTCTCTGACTGGGAGATTCTTGGATAGAAAAGTGATGGCTTTATCAGTCTTCTTTATATGACTGCCTGTAACGCAAGAAGACTTTGTTATGATAAGCCAGAATAGTTCACCTCCCCCATCCGAGTATGTAGAGTCCCAAGCACAGCTTATCTTCTTGTTACAGCAGCTAGGATAGTTTGATTCTTCCCATCTGACTACATGGAGTCCCAAGCGTGTCTTATCTTGTTGTCACAGGTCATTCGCTTCCCCCCATTGCATGGCCACCAGCGTGACAGCCAGCTGTGGATCTCAGCAGTCAGACAACAGGACCTGCATTACATCAGTGAGTTTGCTAATGAGCCAAACAGCACACCTTATATGTAGGATATGTTAACCAGCACAAGTTTCACTTTCCCTTAAACTTCACTCCTGAGCAGGTCCCCACTTCGATCAATGTCAGTGTCCTGGGGCTCCCACCATGTTGACACTACACTTTCCATAAAGTCAAAGCTTTCGCTCCCTGGGGGATTCACACCTTCTCTTCACTCCTAACACTGCCTTTGTGTTGAAAAGAGGTGCAATAGTCTACAAGAAGACACTGGTGTTCTATGCAAGTACAGTTGTATCAGAAATGTTGGCTGCATTTAGTTATGTATTAATTTTAGGAAGAAATAGCTCATATTTTACTGTGAACTAAAAAAATCCAATTCAATTTTCTTATGCCTCTTCAGGTGATCTATGCTCTGCTATTTATTTTGTAAGAGAAATAATTACAAAAGCACACTTGGAATTTCCTGGGCAAAAAATCTGAACAATGCATTAATTATGTAGTGCGGAATTGAAACAATAGAAAAAAAAACAGATTAGATTAGATCAGTGAGACAGTAAAATGCCAATAAATTCTGTATTTGCGATTGAAAGTCTCGCATTTTAAATGTCGTTTGCCTTTAGATGAATAACCCGATTACTCTGTGTGGCTCTCCTATGTCTTGTCATCTTTCACTTCATATTTGAAGAAACTTGTCCAAAAGTGACTTTATATTTACTCCAATTCCTTGTTAAAGTATTTCATAGCATCACCCCAAACCCTGATTCACAATCAGTTGAGAAATGTCTATTAGATGATGATTCCCTATCAGACACTTCTTGAGATCTCTCAGCTAGGTAGTTCCTAATTTCTATAGGAGGTGCTTGGTTAATCCCACATAGCACTATATTTGGAATTGGGCTATCCCACAGTAATCAGTTCACAAATATCTTATGATAGAGTTGTATTGTTAGTTAAATTCATAATTCCATTAAAATAATAGAAATGGAATGAATGTGCTACTGATTGACACTGGTTGTATTTTCATCCTTTAATTCATTATTGATGAAATTCCTGTATAAATAATTTCCTGAGGCAGTCCATGATAAAATGACATTATCAGATTTTATGTCATCAAGATTAATAATTTTACATGGTGGATGGAAACATATCAGCTTTAGGTCCCAATAGTACTACAGATATTATGAAGGAGCCTTCTGCAGCTGTTCTGTGGAAACCTCCTCTTCTGATATGAATATAATTTTTAATAACTGAGGGTCTTGATGGGTTCATCTCGATTTTACCTAAAGCAGTAAAAGATGCAGATTAATCTTGACTATAAGCACACTCTTGTAGCATGCAGGCGACCTGAACTACACCTCATTTATATGGCTTTATATTTGAAAAATCCATTAACTTAAATGAAGTGCAATAATTTCTACTGCAATAGCTATTTCTGTAGAGTTTCAAGACTGCTAATTACTAAGAAAGCCAATATTAAACTGAAGTAACTGTTACTTGTTATAAAATAATTACAGGAGAGTTTAATTTACTAAAATGTTCACAGTTTTTAATTTAAGATGACTGATTACAGTACTTCAGTTAACAAACCTACAGTTACTCTTTTCACAGGCAAAACACAAATCCTGTCTATCTGTATTACACAGGCACTGCTCTATTATAGAGTTAGCAGTCTACTTTAAATATTCTTCTGGAGAATACTGACTTTCCAGGTTTTGAAAAACATTCAAAACTAAACAGCTCTTAGCTGGGCTGTTGTTGCTCTAATGCTACTGCTAGTATTTATAAAGGGACTTGATGTATAGAGGTGCTGGAATACGTAACTGTATTATTTTCTCTGCATTACTTCGCAATTCTGTTTTCTATACTGCCTGATATAGACATGTCATGACTGCATGGCACTGCAGTTTGCGGCACGATAGTTCTTTTAGCTTGGATGTGAACTTTCAGGCTGTATTTGCTTTTCTTAGGGAAAGCAAACAAGTATTTGGAATAGATCCCATCATTCTTAACCATATCAGAACCTAGATATAAAAATGACATAAATTAACATCAAACAGAAATTGTTGTATTTATTATGCTTTTAGATTAATTTATCTAGAAAATAAGAATAACAGGAAAATTAATCTTTGATACGGTGAGGCGCTGGAATGGGTTTCCCAAAGAAGTGGTGAATGCTCCATTCCTGGCAGTGTTCAAGCCCAGGTTGGACGGAGCCTTGGGCATTATGGTCTAGTGTGAGACGTCCCTGCCAATGGCAGGGGAGTTGGAACTGAGTGATCTTAAGATCCTTTCCAACCGTAACTATTCTATGATTCTATGATATGCAACCTGTGCAGCTCCTGGTTTTGATGGTATGTTAAAACTGTTAGAGACAACTGCAGTCTGAAGTAAGACGTCTTTTGGTACTGCGTTTTAACTCAAGGAAATGCAAATTTCTTAACGAAATCATCTGTTATTTCATTAAAAGCTAAAGAACAGAAGATTTTCAAAATCAGACCAGTTTTTAATTACTTCTTATGTGCTTCTATAGTCACATATTTGATTCTTCTGTGATTGAGTTCTGGTTATGCTTATTTCAGAATTCAGCCACCTATAATGATAAACAAATAGACAAAAATCAGAAGTAAGCAACAGAAGAGTAACAACTAAAAGCAGTGGTGAAAATAAACCTTCACTGCTGATTTAGGCACTTGAAACATCAGCTGATGGTAAACTTAATTTTACATTAATAACAGTATACATTACAGTTGATTTACTTACATAATGATTGAAATAAATGTTACATTTCAAAAAGTAGGATAAAGCAAATTTTGTAAGAGAATATTTAATTGAAGGAAATCTGGTTTTACATGTTTATACATACAGATTATAAACTTTGCATACACATTATTGATGATTCTGCAGTTTGATTTCATTCAGGAATAAATGCAAAGCCTTCCTCAAAAAGCCATGTTGGCCTATTAACAACACAATGTCCTTCAAAGCAGGATTTTTTTTTCACAGATGTAGATGCCAGGAAGATCAGAGGAACACCTGAGGATAAAACAGAATATATTTCCACTTTAAAACCCTATCTGATAACCAGAAGCACCAAACCCCAAACCTGCCCATAAGCATGAAGGATGCCCAAGTGGAGCTGGTGTGGGGTGCAGAAGCCTGCAGCCCCATGCATAGGAGGGCCAAGTGGGTACCTGCCAGGCTCCCTTCTCCCCAGCTGGCTCTGCCCCAGGAGCAGCCATCCACTGCTTCCTCAGTGATGCCCAGCTTCTTCCTGGTTTCCCAGCATGAGACGAGTCAGGGTCTTTCTGGCGGGTCTCTCTCTGCCAGAAAGTAGCTGCCAAAATCCTGAGAGCTGGGGACCACCAGTGCCCCAGTGTGGCTGACCTCTGCAAAGGCAGGGCCAGGCTTGTGCTAACCTTAGGCAAGTGAGGTCAGCCCTCCCTCCATGGAAAAGCAGGAGTTTTTAGCTATAGGGACTGCTGCTCCCACAGTGAGAATCCAGGACTGGGGAACCCATAGGCTACAGGGACTTGAGCAGAGATTTGGTAAACCTTAAGAGCATCTTCCCTGAGCAGCACCCTGAACAACCAGCTGGGGATGGGATCCCTGCTGTTACACAGGGAGAACGGCTTGATGTTGTTATGGCCTGTTACATCCACCCAGGCATCCGCTCACAGTTCCAGATGGCTACATAAAGCACTTCTAATGAACTTCCCATTTTCCTGTAGGTATTGTTTGTGTAACTGCAGCCAGCTATCCGCTCCACCCATGCACAAAAGGGTCTCTGCCTCCACTCCCTGCAAGGCAGAATTTACAGGGCTACTTGTTAATGGTCACTGATAAGAGACAGAATTTGGCCAGATAAAGAATCATGCCTTCCCAAAATCTGTCAAAAGTTGAAGTTGCATGTTTGAGTGTGCCTCTTTTTCTTGGGAAGGAATTTCTGGAAGTAAACTATATTAATACAAATTAAGCTATCTTAATCTTGCAAATACAATGTGCTCTCCACTGTTCCTACCCTTTTGCTTGGAACTCCACTTTGTAATGCATCCTCTTGCTCTTTCTTCCATCCTTAAGGTCTCTATCATGTAGCCCAAGTCTTGAACACTCTCCTGTAGTACCTGTCCCAGTTTTGGGACCTTGACAGGCTCTCTGGTCATTTTCCAGTGTAGCAAAGGGACTGTAGCAATTTAGGAACTGGAGCAAGCAGTTTTGCAGGAGATGCGCATCCTAAAGGAAGGGGAACAAACAGGGCTCAGGTTCACCGCCTGAGTTGCTCTCACAAGTCTAAATTGAGGAATGAATGCAAGTGGATTTAAGGACTGCTTCGTAAAAGAGAAATATATTAGTTTCGCCTCCTCTGAATATCTAAAGTCCTCTGCAAACAACTGTCTGAGCTGGAAGCAATTCACATGGAAATGAGGAGTAGCACCAGTGCAGTTGGATTTATGGTGAATAATTAGCACTGGGAACTCTGATCCAGGAAGGTCAATACATATAATAAGGAAAATTCTGCATCACCTTAGCTGCGGTAACTTGCATCTGGGGTAAGGTGTTTCCAGACATCCTTGGCTAAAACCTAAGAATACCAACACTGAATCATCAATCTCCATATGAAAGACACCCAGACCTGCTGCCATGTAAAATTCCTTGCTATTAGTAGGGCCTCCTTGCTACTTCTTTGTATCTTGGAACTGACTTATATTTCTTCCATGCCTTAAGTGGGTGCAGAAACACCCACTGCTGCTCTTTGAGCAGCAAAGATGATCTACTGCTCGAGCCTGTGCAAAGAGATAAGGCTCCTGGAGTGGGTGACTATGGGGAACTCCACAGCACTACAGCATCGTAACTCCAAGTGGCAGCTCACCCCAGTGTCCACTACCTCGATGAACTATAGAGTGAAGGACTTTGGTGTCTCCTTGCTTCAGAAGTGGCACGCTGCGAGATGAAGCGGAATATGCTGAGAAACAGGCCAAGCAAGCAGCAAAACCCACCATACCTATTTTACAAGAGTGTATGGGAAGAAATGTCACAGTTGCACCTCTGCGAGATATATATTTCTATGTAAGGCAGTGAGTGTCTAAGGGTTGCCAAGGGAAAGAAATTCTGGTCAGTATCATGTGCATGAAAGGATGGGGAAGGAACAGCACATAAACAGGGTCACAGCAAATCTGCTGCTTTTCTGAGACTTTTGTGCTATCAGGCTATTGCTAAAATTAAACAATGACCAAAGAAAGGCGTTGGAGTCTTGAATTTCCGACACAGAAACTGAAGGTTCCTTTAGAGCAGATACAGTCATGAGCCATGGCAAACACTCGGCAGAGCTCCTGTGGTATCTAAAGAAGCCTCTCTCCAGCACTCCTCTTTTGTTAAGGCTTGCAATCATGTCATCGTGGAACTGTGTCCTATTTCCTTTAATTATTTTCCACTCTGTGGATTATGCCACTGTCATTGTGCTTTTGAGGACTGAAACTTGTAATTTGTTCTTTGTTTATGAGATACAGACTGCAATGATAATTATCATGCAAATTAGCCTCACCAAGAGGTAGTGCTTGCTTTATTATGTAAGCAATCATCACATTTTTATATAATTGCAACACTTGTTGCTTTCTTTTTAAATTAAGGCACTCATATAGCAAGTTCTGGGAAGCTGGAATGAAGACTTGTGTCTGAGCTGACTATGAGAGGCCAAAGCCACAGCTCACAAACTGCGGTGCTAAAGCAAAGGTCTGGCCGAGGTGCTTAGTTCACTATTCATCTCTCTTATTGTGAAATAGGAACTCACTCCTCTAAACAAGATAACAAGGTTTTATTGAGGGACAAAGTCAATAAAGCAGAAGCAACAGCACTGGGCGCATGACCATAGCCAGAGGCACAAGTGATTAGCATTTGTTACAGGTTTATATACTTTCACTATTACATTAGTTACATACATATTCACAATTCCCGCATATAGGGAGGGAATATTATAACTAACTCCCGGAACTTATTATCATAAGTCCCCTCCTCTTGGCGTCTGCGCACTGCTCTGCGGTGATTGTGGGTAGGGGTCTTGAGGATGAAGTAAGCAGTCTTCCTCTTGTGAGTAGGGGTCTTCAAGATGAAGTAAGCAGTCTTCCTCACAGTGTACTTTTCACCTTTGTCACGGACGCCCCAGTAATCACAAAACTAGCTGAAACCAGCCATATCTGTAATTCTGATAACTAGCAATGATTTAAAACAGTGTGTCCTTCCTGCAAAATTTATTGCAGGATGGGCAGACAAGGAGTATCCCAAGCTAGCAGATGTTTGGGAGGCTCTGTCTCTAAACTAACTGATAAGTCGCAGGTTGGTGTGAAATAACTCATTCATGTTTAGTGCGGCCACTACATTCCACAGACTTACAACATAAACATTGTTCTCTTTCTACAACCTAAGTTAAGTTAAAAAGTACTTTACCTTTTTCAGGCACTAGCTTTCCTTATATCAAGCCACCCCCCCACCGCCCCCTTTCTTTTACCTTTACAAATTCTTTTGCTATGTGACTCCGTTTTGCTCAAGAGTTCTGGCCCTTTTTAACTTGTCTAATCTTGAGTCTTTAGCGAGCTTTCTTTCTGTTATTGTAAACTGGTACAGTTATATCCACATAACCACACCTATGATTTGCAAAAGCCAATACATTTATGTGTTTATCACACTATAGAGAGCAAAACATTAAGCACATGAAAAGCCAACATACCACTTTGTCATTTGGGTACAAATAGGTACTCACTCCAGCATGGATAATGGAGTGATTTCATCTACTAGAAAAAGAAAAGATCGAAATTTAGCCTTTGATTTTTATTACTGTGCACACATTATAGATTCACAGAACCACAGAGTAGTTTGGGTTGAAGGGAACTTAAAGCTCACCCAGCTCCACCCCCCTGCCACAGGCAGGGACACCTTCCACTAGAGCAGGTTCCTCCAAGTCCCTGTGTCCAACCTGGCTTTGAACACTGCCAGGGATGGGGCAGCCACAGCTTCTCTGGGCACCCTGTGCCAGCACCTCAGCACCCTCACAGGGAAGAGCTTCTGCCTAAGAGCTCATCTCAATCTCCCCTCCGGTAGTTTAAAGCCATTCCCCCTTGTTCTGTCCCTGCAGGCCCTCGTCAGGAACCCACCTGCCTGCGCTGCCCTGGTGTCACCAGGCCCCGAGCGGGCCCGCCCCGTGGGGACGGTGCCGCCGCCTCTTCCCGCCCGCCGAGCCGGGAGCAGGCTGCGGCAACGGCCGGTTGCCAGGCAACGGCTCATGGCGGGCAGCGGCGGTGAGGTGAGGTGAGGGGGTGCCGAGGGGCCGCGGGCAGCCGTGCGGAGGGGCGTCTGGGAGAGGGGATGGTGCCGCGGTGGTGGGCACTGGTGGTTGGCCCGGGCCCCTGCGGGGATTTGCCGCTGCGAGCTTTACTCCGTCTTTGGTGTGCATTGAGGTTTGTGTTGCTGAGGGGTTTGGTTTCCGTGCGCTGTATGTGTGAATTCAGTGCTGCTTCGGTGCTTACAGGTTATGAATACGTGTGCAAGGTCTCAGCTGCGTGATCGGTGTTAAATCTCTGATGGGTTCACCTGGTCTGGTCCGCTGTAATTGCTAGTGGGAACGACCTGGGATGCTGGTAACATTTCAGTTACTATTCTTGTTAACACATACTGTCTTGTTACACAGCGTTAACTCAGAATGTCGTCATCACTGCCATCATCCTCGTATTTACCTGTACGGAATTGTACTGCGCCTCTACGGGACTTGGATCTTCTGGGAAAGCTGCTTCTTCGTGCTGCTGAGGCAAGTTCATTCTGTTCCTGTTCAGCTTGATTTTTTCATACTGTTTCCTTTGTTAACAAGATTCAAAACGTATTTCACAACATACTTCCTAGCTACTGATGGGAAGTACACGATATTTCAAAAAGTGGACATCAAAATGGTATACTGAAAGTATGGCAGAAATAGTGTTATATTCTTTCCTGCTTACACAGACAGGCTGGGATAAATTAAAGACAAAGTTTAATCTTTCGAGATGCTATTTTCACTAGAAGTAATTAAATTCAAGAACTTAGTTTTGTTTAGATAACCAAGAAAAAGCTATAGAGACCTGTGCTGTGTTGCACAAATTGAGGTCTGCTAGGAAACGTAAGCCTCTAATAAACCAAGATACATAACCGGAGTGTAGTATTTGCCTTATGGTGACAGTTGAAAGCAGACCAGTCTACGTTCTGATTCTGTGAGGAAGTGTTTGGAGAAGGGGTGAAGGTGATGGCAGGTTCCTGGTGTATGACAAGGAAGTGGTGGGGGAATGGGATGCACTTAGGTAGTAGGCACTGACAGTTGGCTCTGGACTTGCCATGACGCGGGCAGCATCGTGTTCCTGTGCAGCTCTGCCTGGTGAGGAGCTTTTAGCCTTTCCAAACTGGGAAAAGAGAGATGCCATTGCTGCCTCCAAATCGGAAGAACTCTGCTGTGGTACATAACATTGGTGTCTGAGCAGGAGTTGGCCTCCACCTTTGCTGGAGGCAAATTGTATACCTTTGTACTATGGATTAGGTGTGTTCTGTGAGTGATCAGTTTGAGTTTTAATCCCTTCTCCTAAGTGATTCTGCTGAAGAGCTGACTTGTTTTATGTTGATATCCTCGAATCAGCAAGATCAATGTCCAAACTGTGAGTGATACTAAATGTTACATAATTATGAATGCTGTTTCAGGGAAAAATGGATGTGCCACCTAGAGAAGCAGGAAAGCTCTGCTCACTGATTCAACCGCATGAAAAGGATTATCATAGAACTACACAAGCCATCCAAGATGGAAAATATTTTACTGATCTAAGCAAAGAATCTGACAGCATAGAACAAGTAAGAAAGTATGTAAGGCATAAACATAGAACCAGTATGAGTGTGCATTTCATATGAGTCTTAAACAGTTAGTCTTATTATCTTCTTTAATAGATCTGTTGGGAAGATTTTTTTTTTGTTGTTACGTCCTATGCACTAAATTGGACAGGACATAACAAATTTGGAAGGCATTTGGTGGGCTAAATCAATTATCATCTGAAGTAATTTTTCAATGTTTCCTACTTGTCTTGCAGTTAAACAGTAAAAACATGGACACATTGATGCAGAAGTTAAATGAAATCATGTTCCAAAATACTGTAAGTAAATTAAAATTTCTGTCTCTCTTTGTTCTGTGCTGTACATCTGAAAATGGCTGCATCATGGGATCACACAGTTTGAAGTGACAGTGGCAAAGTGGGAATGTTTGTGAGGTATCATTGCAATGTGGGATCTTAGGGTCTTCCATCTTACAGCTGAAATGTTCATCAGTGTGCAGTACTGTTGCATTGCTGTGTTCAGACATTCAAATATTTTTTTTGCGTTTGTTTTTTTTTCCAATGAAGATTCTCAGGAGAAAAACACTTGAAAGGGAGAAACAGGTTAAAGACCTTACATCCAGGCTTCAGCTCAAAAAAGTGAGTGATCAGTTGTGTTGGAATCCATGTTTTCTCCCATGTAATATGTAATAAATAGCATCATATGACATATTTCCGTAGACTAATAGTTCTCTGTTTATTTCTCCTTCTTAGGCCAATGTACAAAAGGGAGACCATTTCTCAAGATCAGCAAAGACAATACAACTTCACCTGCAACATCAGATTCAAAGAAAAGAAGCGGAAAATGATGAATTAAAAGAGAAAATACAGGTTAACATAGTTTTTACTTTGTGCTTCGGTTTATTTGAAACAACTAGCAAAGCCTTACTGTGGTCTAAGTTTGATTCAGATGTGAGAGTTGAATCTTAAAGTACCACTTGAAATCAAACTCTTGGTAAAAGAAAAATCCCAAACAGTAAAAATCATCAGCATTTATATTTTGCACAATCTGCCCGACCCCACTGTTTTGATTGCAAGGTTTGTTGTTTGTTTTCTTTTTTCCTTCTTTCCTTAACTTGTGCATACTAGCAGTTCTGAATAGAAGTTGAGCACACAGAAGCATTTGCACTCACCTGACTGTGCTATCTAGAAGATAGATACCGATCCAGAGGCAGTCTCCATACAGTCAGTAGAAAGAGATATGCAAGTCTTCAGGATGAGTGGCTGTTATACGATAAGGGCCATGAATCACCACCTATTTATTGACTGTGAAAGAGTCAATAAACCTCTTAATACTGACTGAAAGAGAAACACTTAAGACTAATGCCTAACCTCACTTTAAGGTAGCTGGAATCCCATTTCCTATTCTATGAAACAAGAGGTAAATTTGGGCATTTGCTTCAGTTACTGACTAGAACAAGGCAAGGAAGAGGTGATGTGTCAGAGGCTGGAGCATACATACCCTCAAATTTCAGTATTTGAAACTTGTCAAGAACACAGGCATGAATGAGAAAACACCGGCTAAAAAAGAATGTATTTCTAACTTCTAAACTTTTTTTTAGTAGCATATATCCCCTATTAATTCTATAATTTGTTAAGGAATCTATAGCAACTCAGTTTCCAAAAAAGTCATGTATGTCTATGTCTATATTAAAACCTCCTTTTCTCCTAAATAAAAATCGCTTACTTGTCCTACTTAGTACAACTACAGAATTCCAACAGCATTTTCATTTAAGTAACTTGATATATAACTGTATTTTCATTCAATCTTGATTTACAATCTTGATTCACGAGTTTTGTTTGTTTGCTCTTCAAAATGCGCTGAAGTTAGTTGATGGCTTCAAGCCTGTTGATGATTTTGTTAATGATCTGGACAAAAGTTTGCGAAAGCTTAGCAATACCCTTATGAAATCAATCCTTCATGTAAATTCACCTCAGCCACTGAATAACGCCCAGAGCGCTTATTGTTAGTGTGATTGTGACCTCCTGTGGTTATAACAAGCGATAACAGCTGTGTGCTTAAACCAAGAGTTGGAAGAGACCTTACATAGACTCTGATTTTCTATTTGCTCTATTTACTGAAGGTGTTCTTCTGCTGCCCTGGCCAAATCATGTCTTTGTTCATCAAATGCCTTATAAGCATCTATATATGAGAAGTGCTTCCTGCCTATTTGTTTTTTTTTATCATTTTTTGAAGCAGTACGGTACCTGAGACCCTCTTTTACGTGGAAAACCACATACTTTTTTCATTAATTGTGGAAAAGTTTTGGGGCCATTAGCAGGACCTATATAACAAATACCCTGTCATATGCATAATATGTGTATTTTATATCAACTGGCAAATAGTAGCTCGAATATAAGGCTGGCACATTAACATAGTAGGTAAATGGCATGTCATTCTGGTCCTTTTTCATGTAGAACATAATTAAGTGTCAGACCTAGACTCAAAGGAAGGAAACAGATGCATTAATCATTCTTACAATTAGGATATTTATCAGTGACTTGAGAAATTAATTTATGCTACTAGCCTACTTACATTGCTGTAGTTTGGCAGATGAATAATAAGTGGTAAGACTGGAACTTGCCCTTGTCTTTATGAGGGTAGTTGTCTACTGGTAGCTTGGTCATATTTTTGATAAGCTGTACTTACCACCTTTGGAAGAATCAAATCTGAGATTCTCCTTGAAGCAGAGTCCAGTATTGCTTTTATTGTATGTCATTGTGCAATGTTTTAATGTCTTGTGATTTTTTTCCCATTCATATTTAAATAACAAATGATACATACATGAGAAATATAAAAGTCATGAAGTTAGAGATGTTAATTATCTTAATTATCTTCCTGGACTGGATGGGGTTAATTCATTGCCTTCATCAGAGTAATGTAAAAATCTAGTTAGTCAGAAATACTAACAGTAGTAGAAAAGATAATATAATGACAGTCGTAGAACTCAGCTCTCATCTCAATTGCATTGTACACATTTCATAATATGATTAAATGCATTAAAAATATATTTCATGCAAATGTATCTTATTTCCTGAGTGTTGCAAGATCAAGCACTCCAGAAATTATAAGTTGTCCTTACAATGTGTGATTTAATGCTGTGGGTTAAGCTTTATCACAGCCTCTTTTAATTATCTTTAAACAATTGTCTGCTGTGCACAAGGCAGTGCTTAATCTTCACTATCCATTGAACACAAAATGCAGCTTTCCATAAAACACTGTTTCTCTTTCCATAAAAAATAGTTTCTCTTCTAAAAATTCTGTTTCATTATTACAGTGGGGCCATTATATGCATGGGAAAAAGTCAGAGATCTTGTAAGAAGATAGTGTTTTGTCATCTAATAACAGACCATATCATAATGTGTGTATTCAAGAAAGACCACAGCCTTTCCTAGCTTCTTGACTTAAAAAAGCCCAAATCCAATATCTTAACTTTCATATGTAAATTTCATATGCAGTTATACTGATCTCCAGCCCTAGTTATGTGCGTGCTCACCAGATTCAGAGCACATACTGCTACCACATCGGTGAATATCACATCCCTGATATTCTTGGTCATCTTTGTCCTGAGTTTCCCAATAGGTATTTTCTCTTGCTTAACTCCTGTATCTATCTTGACTAGCTCCTTGTATCAACCATAAGTTTTGAGGTACAAAGATATTATGGGAATCGATTATAAATTACCGATTATAAATGTAATCGGTATTTCTGATGCCTGTTATGTCACAAAATGATCTGTAAGGCATAGAAATTTAAAAGATTTGATGTTTAATTATTCTGCAGACTCTACAGAAGAAAATAACAGCGTGGAAACTTCATTTTGGTGAATACAAGCATCAGATGTTAGCCTTAAAGGAAACAAGTGAGCAAAAGAAGAGTGCTCTGAAAAAAGCAGTCAGATGCCAGAAACAAAGAGCTCGGCACTTCGAAGCAGCTGTGGAAAAACTAACTTCCAAAATAAAAGAACGTGTGAGTGACTATGCTGTGAGCAATTGGGAGACTTTCTCCTGTGGAAATGGGAAGAGTTTGTTGGTCCTGCTCTGTTTGTATCTCTTTTTTTCCTCCTTGGTTAAGGAAAAGGTTGCTGTAAGTGACATGCAAGCTGTTACTACATTTTTTTTTTTGGTTAAAATTCAGTGAATGTCTTAATCCATGAAGTTATACACTCCAAACCGTAGTACATAAGAGAAGTCTGATCAGACTTCAAAGGTCAGTTGCATCTTTCCTGATCTTCCTGTTAGACCTTTATGAATATACACTGACTTAACTCAGAAGTACAGTTTACTGAGAATCCATGATTGGGGTTTGAAGTCTTTGTTTTCTTTATCAGTGTAAGACATCTCATGTCATACTTATACTTCACTTTATGTTTCTAAGCTGCTTGCTCCGAACCTTTTCAAATTCCAAGCGAAAACTTCTTTCATCCAGATTATTCCTTAGATTCCTGCACTGCATATCCCCACAGTGTGTCATTGTTCAAAAAGGCCAGGTGGATCAGAACTGTGCTGAGATCTTTATTGCCTTATTTAGGCTTCCTAGGAAGAGTATATTTTCATGCCTTCAGATGCATTGCCCTAATTTTGGATATGTCATTATTAAAGGTACATTTTTCCAGTTATTATGTCAGGAGATGATTAAAAATAGGGTGGTTTTTTGTTGTTTTCTTTGATCTTTGTGAGAAGACAGTGGTGGATCCTTACCTACACTTAGCAGTACAGAGAGATGACAGCTAACTCCTGGACTTTTGATGTTTTGTAGTCACACTGTTGCTTTCGTTCCCCATTGACCTGGTGTACTTTCAGGATTGCATATGCTGGTTAATTATTCATACTCCTTTGAGGGACTTTACCTAACTTTGCATTTCTTACTCAGCAGTTATTTTTTATCCTTAAACTGTTTTGGCAGGATTTTGGTTTTGCATAGATTTCTGTAATTTCCATGCAGTAGAGATGTAGTGGAGACAAATACTTTTGTTGTAAGAAAAAGTTTTAATCTTAAAATTTGAAATAAAGATGTTGTATTCTACAGCTAATACACAGTGCCAGTGTGATTTTGCCTTGAAAGTAAGTCTCTACTTAGACTTCACTTGTTTAAAATGTGAGTAGTTTTGTTCATTCTCTCTTGAGACAAAATTGACATTGCTTTGTGCCAGGGAGATGCAATAAAGCCATCTTATATTAAATTACTCTTGTGTTTAGAAAAATGGGTAGAACAAGATGGCATTTTTCAGTGGCATTCTTCTGTTTTGTAATCTGTAATTCTTGTATTATGTAGGAAGTCAAACTGTCTGAGATACTGTCAGCTTCCAGTGTCTGGAAGAAGCAGCATGATAGAGTGGTTGAAGGAAATACAAGGTTAGAAATTCAAACAGAAGATCTTAAGAAGTAAGTTAAACTGTTGATCTATTCTTTTTTTTCTGTAGTCACACAGTTGATATTTAGTAGTGCAGCACTCAGTGTTGACAGTGTAAACATGCTTCTGTAGTCACATTCCTAAATTCTGAGCAGAATTTAGAAGTTGCAAACTGCAACAAATTCAAGATTTTTGGCCTCCTCTGCTGTATTTCACAACTTTTTTAAAAACATTTTATGATAAGAACACCAAAGGAGTATGTTAAGGTACAATTTAATATGCACAGTGAGAGTTTTGGAAGCACTGTGTATTTTACATGAGTTCTTGCCTATCTAACAAGGCAGATCACAAGGCTTTTGGAAGACCTGAAAAGAAAGGAGGAATGGAGAAGAAACCCAGATGAGGAGATTCTTGGAAAGCTAAATGCTGTTGATTCTGAAAATGAAAAGATTTACCTCGAAAATGAAAAATTAAAGGTGAGACCATTATAAACCATTGTTGAGTGGCTTTGCATTTCTGATACATTAATGAAGTAATCACAGTAATTTCATTTAGGCCTTCTGTATAGAGATCCCAAACCTGTAGAATAAATTTTGCTATCCAATTTTTACAGGAAGTGAAAATGAGACACAGAAAATTTATCAGTGAAAGTCTATGGCAGAGCTAGGAACAGGGTTGTCTATTCATCTATCTGCTTAACCAGGATGCCATTTATTTCACTGTCAGTAGCTACACAATTGCTTAGCTAGAAGTTGTTATTTTATGTTTGTAAAACTTCCTTTCAGATTAAAGAACTAAGTTTAGCTCAGTTATTAATTTCAACTTTTTTACAGGTTCTTTGTTTTATTTATCCTCCAAAGTAAATGTTCTCATGAGCTGACAAACCAGCTGCGGGTTCTCATTTTTGTTTGACAGGATAAAGAACTGTGTCAACCTTTTAAATGCCTGTAGGTCACTTGCTAGTGGTATCATATGGTAGACTGTGTTCTTTTAATAGCACTCTTAGAAATCTTGTATTTTCCATGTTTTTATCAAGGCTTCCCTTGCCACATTGGAAAGCAATAGTGTTTCTGTTGAAAATGAGCTGCAAAATCTTCAAAAAAAGGCAAAAGTGCAGGAAAACCTTGTTGAACAATATAAAAATCAGGTGAGTAGCATATTTGAAATGTTCATATATGGCTTTTAAATTCTAAGCAGTTTTGAGAAAATGATAAAGGTTTTGTTTATAGTAAACAAGAACTGTTGTTATGGTGACTGTAATACTGTTGTAACATTTGGGATGAGAGAAGAGAGTACCATTACAAACCATATCCAAACAGTCTTCACACTGCTGCTGGTACACTTAATCGTAAGTAAGTGTATTGTGTGAAGCCCAGCTGAAGCTCATGGAAGCCAACAGAGCCAATTACATAGTGGCTTAGTAAAGATTTGCTTCCTAAAAAATATGTTTGCAACCCAGTAAACTATATTTAAAAAGCAGAATTTGAGTCTGGTGGCTTTAATGGACAAATCCAATGATATTTTACCTCTCCTTGGTTAAAGAGTAGGACTTTGGGGTGTTGATTGACAAGAAGCTCAACATGAGCCAGCAGTATGCACTTGCAGCCCAGGAAGCCAACCATGTTCTGGGGTACATCAGAAGGAGTGTGATCAGCAGGTCAAGGGAGTAATCCTGCCCCTCTGCTCTGCTCTGATCTCATGAGACCCTACCTGGAGTACTGAGTTCAGCTTTGGTGCCCCCAGCCCAAGAAGGATATAGAGCTGTTGGAGCGAGTCTTGAGGAGGGCTTTGAAGATGTTCCAAGGGCTGCAGCACCTCTCCTATAGAGACAGGCCGAGAGAGTTGGAGTTATTCAGACTGGAGAAGAAGAAGCTTCAGGGAGACCTTGTAGAGCAGCCTTCCAGTACCTAAAGGGACTGACAAGAAAGCTGGAGAGGGACTTCTGACAAGTAGTGACAGGACAAGGGGGAATGGCTTTAAATGACAGAACGTAGACTTAGATTAGATCTTAGGCAGAAATTCTTCCCTGTGAGGGTGCTGAGGTGCTGGCACAGGGTGCCCAGAGAAGCTGTGGCTGCCCCATCCCTGGCAGTGTTCAAGGCCAAGTTGGATGGGGCTTGGAGCAACTTGCTCCAGTGCAAGGTGTCCCTGCCTGTGGAAGATGGTTGGACTGGATGAGCTTTAAGGTCCCTTCCAACCCAAACCAGTCTGGGATTCTTTGGTATCTTTTTTTCCACATTTCTAAGAACCTCAAGCCAGCATTCAAGTATTGTTATAAGCAGTTTTATTTATACAGGTAGTTCCACACTGAAAATACCAGCAAAACAAAAAAAAATATCAGACTTAAAATGGGCTTTTTGTATTTGCTTTTAATCACAGAGAAGACATTTTAGAACTTTGATTCTAAGTTGTATATATTTCTGCACTAGTATAGGCCCCATTTCACTGAGTCTTCTCTTATCTCTTGTAAAAATTATTGAAAGACATGATACAAAACCTAAGTAAAATTAGTGTGTCTTGTCTGTAGAGTGCATCACCACGATTAAAATTGTTGCCAACTTTAAGATGGGAAATGTAGTTCCAGGAAACAGTCAGCCTTAAGCAGTGAGTGGAATGAAATTCCCCAGCTTGTAGCTGTGGTGACTTCAGATGGGAACTGCTGGTGGTACTTATTATCTGAAGGGTGAGTCATGCTGTCTGCTTCTGTAGCACAAGTGTAGCTCATTCTCCATAGTTGAATATGAAATGTTGAGATCAGAGTGTTCTTTACCCAGTTACCTTTTTATATGTGCTGTGGTGAGTAGGAAAATGAAAATAAATAACTCATATTATGACAGATACTGAGGTTCTGTTTAGAAATCAAAGGTTTTCCTTTATGCTTCATACTAATGATTCTGTATTTTCTGTATTTAAAAGAAACACCTTGCAAATGCATGTGAAAATTATATGTTGTCCTAGGTACAAGAATTACAAACAGCAGTAGAAGAATTGAAATCCAGATATGCAACAGCCTTAAATGAAAACAAAAGAATAATAGAAGACAAAAGCTTGGAAGTAGATCAGGTAAGTTTCGGAGTAATAAAACATGTTTCCAAACATGCTCTAGGGCATTGATCTTTCCTACACTTTTGTGTAGGATCCACTCAGAAGTCACAGGGTACTGGCTCTTTTTCCATGTATAAAACTGTTTTTAAATTCACTAGATGTTTTATAGCCTCATGTGAGCTGGTGTGTTTTGGTTACCACACAATTGCAGAAAGGTGAGAAATGGTTCCTAGAGTAATGATGAAGGAGTTGGGCTGCTGTTGTGGAATTTCAGGATCTTTTTATCACTTTTAAAAATGGGATTTTGTTGATGCTTTTAAAACTATGTCTCTCAACAGTACACCTGTGAAAGTTGCATCCAGAAGCAAACCTACCATAAGACTGCTTTGTCTGTTTTAACTAGCAGTTAAAACAGTGCATCCATACAGAGATGAGTTTTAAGTGTTTCAGCAGATGGAGTTGAATAATCGAACAGAGTTAGCACATTCTTAAACATCAGAAAACAATGCAAAACTGGTAGGAAAATCATTTTGCTCAGTTCCCCATGGCTCATCAAAACACATATTCTTTTAAGCTATAAAACTGTGGTAAGGATAGGTTTTGCATTGCCTGCAGTGTTCTGTTTTAGAGAACGGAATTAATCCTCACAGAGGGCATCTTAGATATACATTTTATTTCATACTAACTTTATTTTTCCATATTTGAGTTGCAGAATGGAGAAAAATACTTTCTGAACCCCAAAATAGTACTTGCATGGAATTTTATGTGGCTTCAGGTGGCATTAGGTGTTGCCCTCTTTTCCAGTAGTTGTATGATTAGAAGTTTTCCTGTCAGCTGTTTAATGTGGCTGTATGCCATCTCCCAAAATATATTGCCATAAAGACAAAAAGTTCGGGTATTGCATGATGAACTGCTACCACTTGCATCATTTTGTATATATTCATTATGAATGTTACTGGTTCATTAATGAAATACAGTCAGAGATGGAAATTTCTCCAGTGCTGAACTTCTAACTTTGTCAGTATTCTATAAAATCATTGATATTATGCAACTTGTGTAGAATTTTAGATTTATTACTTATGGAAAGTTATTAAGTATTACAACAATTAATTTATGGTTTTACATTCACATTTTTCTCCTCTGATGCTACTATGCAGGTGAGGGACAACGTGGAGCCTGAGTTAAAGGAGTTAGAACATGGGTTTGAGTTGCTGAAAGCACCTGAGGAAAAACAGCAATCCTCTCAGAAAAAACTTGTATCCTGGGAAAGGATCCATGCACAGAAATGCAAAACCCTTAGGGAGCTGCAGGTTCAGGTGCTTAGAATATGCTTATTTTTAAAGATAAATGAGAAAATTATGTGGAAGAAAGTCTCTGGGCCATTTTTTTCTTATTAGCATGTGTGACCATCATGTAGTTTCCTTCCTTATTTGCTTCATAGATCAGGAGTTTCTTCTGTAGAAATAGCATAATGCAAATAAAACTATTGCCAACAGTATTTATGTGAATTCAGTATTAGACAAGACTGGTTACTTGTAAATTCTGTATCTTTTCAGTGCATATATTCTTGATCCTTTTGAACACTTACGGCCTGAGATGTGTTGCAGAATTCTTCCCTAAAAATAAATGTGCAAGCCTAGTTAATGTTTGTATCTGGCGCAATAATTTAATTCCACGGTCATTTTGTTTTTAATGACTAATTTATAAGCCAGACAATATTTGCTCAGACAAATAGTCATAAATTATATTGCTGATGATGGATAACTTTAACATTTTAATGATTACATTGTGTTGCTTGATAAAATATGTTATAA